TTTGTCTTTCTTAGCACTCATTCATTCATTATTGCCTGTGATAAAAATAGAGGTCTATAGTGGCGTTAATGAAAATATGTTGAAGATGTCCACATTAGTCTTCTATTTGTAAAATATGATATAAGTACATTTTCTAATTATTTTGTTTAGAAAATGGTCATATAGGTGGTTTGCACTAAAATTGTAAAGTATAAGGAGTAAAATGTCTTTATTGATATGAAATGTTATTCTGATATTGATAGAACGCAGAATTTTGTTCAAGCGTGTATTATCTTAAAAGTGATTTAACTCATTGGCCACAATCCAGCATTTTCTCCATCTGTTAAAATGAGTAATTGAAATAATTGGCTACTATTCAATGAAAGAATCTCACTACTGTTAATAGATTTGTTTGGGTGTTTTAAGCTGCTAGTGAGATTTTATTTAAGTAATGTTAGTATTAAAGATAAATTCTTTTGATCTTTCTCATATAGAAGTTTTACAAAGAAATCATGAAAAAGTAAGGAAACCCAACCCATCAGTTCTCTCAATATTTAGTCTGTTTTCTTTTTGAGTGAACAGATGTAATAGTATATATATTTCAATCAGTATTTTACCATATATAGACATGGATCTAAATAAAATGTTCTTTGACATAAAAAATAGCTGTGATTATGGATCAAATTGATCACAAAAAAATGTACATCCCTTTTCAAGTCTCATGTTATGGATTTCTCTTCTTCTGAAGTTTAGCTTATCTGGCTATAAGTTATATGCATAGGAGGTGCACTTACTTGTTTCAGTTAGTTTAAAAATAGGTATTTAGTGTATTCTAATGAAATTATCAATTGGAAATTAAGAGGGTTAAAGAAATCCTTTGGAAGACTGGCTTTTAGCCTTTCTCTTGGCACAGGCGGAAATAAATCAGTTTATTTTTACTTGTATTCGTGTTCTCAGTAATCACATAAACCAAGGACTGCTTGTTGTATGGATCTTAGGACGTGAACATAAGTCATTTTCTTCCTCTTCTTTGTCTAGGGTGCTATACTTAACCGTATGCTAAGTAAGTATTTTAAATACATATGGAACTGTGTTTATTTGGTCACTGCATTTTGTCAAATCATTGTGTAAAAGACCACATATATATAGCTGCTTTATTATTTACATCTGTATCATTTATGAATCTGATACCTAGGAAATTGTATTTAGTAATAATCTAAACAGTCAGGTTTCCTTTCATCTTATAAATGGGATTCATTTTATCTCATTAGAACTGTAATTTTAGAATGCCCTATAGTGTTAATGTGTACAATATTTATTAGATGTTTAAAGGATACTTCTTTAAGCATCCAATTTGTATTTTATTAAAAAAAATTCATAGTGTTTCTTTATGGGTTAGTTTAATATTCTCTTTAAATATTTTAAGATACTGCCTTTCTACTTAGTATATGTGCTGTTGGTATAATGTTTTTTTTTTTTTACATAGACATTTGTGTTCTTTAATAAAGTATATTGTGTTATATCACTATGCTTTTGTGGGTCAATGACTGCTCTTGGAAAAGATTTTAAAACATTTTATTCACTTTTTTTATAAATTAAATATGTATGTGTGTTATGTGCTGCAGTTATATGTTTCCAGGTATGTGTAAGAAATAGAAGTAGAGATCATAAATAATTTGATCAATAACTACTTCAACTTTATTTCACCTTTTAGGTAGCAGAATGATTGCAGACCCTTAGGAGTTTCTGATTTTCAATTTTTAAAAAAGATCTGAATTTATAACATAGCTAGAATTTATTGGCTGACAAAATTTGCCAAAGTTTCCAAAGTGGAGTGTGTGTGTGTGTGTGAATGAAATAAGTAATCCACTATTTTTACCATCTACATTGTTCTTCGGTTTCTAGGATTCTTGATGGTATCTCTTGCATTTGTCTATGATGTATTAATTCTTACAAATTCTGTTGGAGTTTACTTGTATCATTCAGGATATTTTTGTTACCAGCACATAAAGCTATGGATGTCCTCAATATTCTAATGTAGAAATAACCATATTTTTTCCACATGGAAATAAGTTTAGTCATTTGTAGAAAGAGCTTTAATTTGCATACTTATTAACAGAGCTATTGATTTCAAGATTGATTTATTTCTTTGTGTTTTTCCTCTCCTGGATTTTGACAGTTCCTAAGTATATTAACAGTTTTTATTTACTGGTGAGTGTGCTATTAACTGAGAGAATTCTCATATCACCCCCTAATTCTGACAAGCAAATTTTGCCTTTCCTCTGAGACCCATTATAAATACATGAGAGTTCCATATGGAGACTAAGTCATGCTAAAAGGTATTACTAATGAAGTAGTCAGTAAGGATTATGTTATTTCCAAATGGCATATACTTTCAACATTATCATCTAACAAGTCTAGCATATAAAACCTTTCTTTTCCCTGTGCATTTATTCTTGAGCTGGTAACTTGATTTTATAATAAATTGAAATCCGGTACAAACTGGAACTATATCTAAGTGTAGCAAACTTGTTCTTAAATTTATTAGCTGGAAATACATAGATACAACAAGAATCACCTGCATACATGAAGGTGAAAAATAATAAGTTAAAATTTACCTTTATATTCATGATGTTTGATGTGAGTTATACACTATAAATCATAAATTCAAGTTATTATGACACAGTTTTAAAGTAAATATGCAATAATTAGGTTGTAATTTGATAAGAACTAGGAAAACATTAATGCCATACCTCTTCACCTATCAAGAGCCCGGATTATTGGCAATCTGAACTCTAAGGGACGTTGCCCAAAAACCTGAAGTGAAGCAAAAAGGACTATATAGTTAACCAAAATTTAGTCCATGTACTTAACTCAGTCAAAGTACACATTTTCATGTCTTTTAACTGTCCATTTGCATAGTTTTACTAAGGTTAAAGATCTGTTTTCTAAATCCACAACAAATTACTGTTAGGGAAATGCTTAGACAAATAGAGTCACAATATCAGAAAGCAGTAGCCAATAATTTTCAAGCAAGTGAGGACCCTGAAAACCTATAAAAGTTGAATACGAGAATTCAAACAGAACAGCAGACGGATAGTACTCCAAGCACAAAAGGCTGGCACGCTGTTAGACACATAGCAGCATGTGTTACTTGTATTTATGACCCTGAGATGACAAAATAAAGTAAATTATATTTAATGTATTTTCTTGATGAAGCAAAGAATGTGATTGTTTTAAATTTCCCATCAAAGATGATTGAAATACTAGATTTCATGCTTGGAGGAATATGCACTCAGCTGTTTAGAAGTCTCAACCTCATAAATTCAGAAGTCCTCATATTCTGAAGGTTCCTGTAACTATATGTAATGTAATTGAAGTTTTAACTATTGAAAGGTAAATAAGTTGAATTGACAGGAAAGAACATAAAATTGTGTGGGCTTGCCATTTAGTCTCTTTATGTTACATATTATTATTTTTTCTTAATGCCAGAACAACAGGTATTTGAATATTTTGACTGCTTTTAAATATATTTTGGTTTATAATATATTGGCATAGTAAATAAAGTGCTGTTATTCATATTTGATTTTAGTTTTCATGTAGCTAGGAATTATCATGATAGACAAGTCTGTGTCTTGAGTCTAAAAAAAGATTTTTGGAAAAGTGCATAAGTTTATTTGGTTCATAAGAAGAAAGTTGTAGAGGAAGAAATGCATTAACTTATGACATACTGTGTTTTAAACTTATTTATAACTGAATAACTTAGCTAAAGTTGCTAACTTTCTGAAACTCCTGATTTCCAAAATGGGTCTTTGGACGATTGGATTTTGTAGCATGATTTGAAATTTTTACATAAATGTAGATTTATAGTCCCTTTTATTGTGATGGTTTTTGAAAATCAATTATTTTTCTTTGTGTTTGGTTTATAACACTAGTTACTTCCCCCTTGTTTCTAATAAAGGTTACTGAATAGTAATTTTGCATTTTATTCAAGTAATACATGTATTATAAAATTTTTCTCTTGGTTTCATAGTTGTGGATTTCTCAGTGTTTTAAATCAGTAAGAGAAACAATATATAAGAGAATCTGACAGATTGAAGAAAAGTATTTAATTTTAACTTAAAAGAGCACAAAGAAAATGAGGATATAATCCTTTCTATAAGATGTATACATCTTTGTTATTTGTTGTTAAATTTTGGTCTTGTTATTCCAACTGATGCAAATTTTTTTTACAAAAACAATGAAATAATGCAGATCTTTCTTCATTGTCAGCAGGATGAGATTGTCTGAAACGAAGAATAGGTATGATAGTTTTCTTAGATTTTGTACATCATAGGTGGCAAAGACACTATCAAAATATTTGTTAATAAGCTTTAAGGTGTACTAGGAGATACTTTGAAAAACCAAATGCACTGAGAGAAAGTGACAGGTAAATTTTGAGAATATTTATATTTGAGAAAATAATACCAAATTCTTAGGACAGTTTTTATTTGCTAGATGGCGTTAGCATGCTGTAAACATTAGAAAGTGTATTTACAATCTGCCTTCACTTGGAGAAAGAGTAATAAGGTACAAATTGTATAGGATTGATTACAGCTTAAGTTTTTTTAAGTAATCACAATGAATTAGATTGAATTCATAATCTAGAATTATCTGTATCTTATATTAAATGTTTTTAAGATAATGGGTAAATGATTAATTCTTGAAGTTCAAAACTGAAATTGTTGTGTTTGTTAGTTTTGAACACATTTGGCTATACACATACATTCATTCATATGCTCTTAACATTTCTACTATCAAAGTGTTCTGAATGATATTTACTTTGTTAATTTTGTTATATTTTGTTTTTTCCTAAAATATTTATTTCAGGTTTAGATTGTCTTTGTTATAGACTTTAATAATTTTGTGAACTAAGCATAGAATTAACCATGTTGAAATGTGTAGTAGTTTGCCATTTGTCTTTGAAAAAGATAGATTTTTTTATATTATTTAGATATACCATAAATCTGTTTACCCTGCAGGTGTGATGAATGCAGACTGTGCTACCATTTTGGCTGTTTGGATCCTCCTTTGAAAAAGTCTCCTAAACAAACAGGCTATGGATGGATATGTCAGGAGTGTGATTCTTCATCTTCTAAGGTAAGGAGAAAAAAAGTCCGTAAGAAGAAGCGTTTTACTTCATTTTGATAGCCATATCATACCATCAGCTTCCTAACTTTAAAGGTAAGTATAATTGTGAACGACCAACATTTTAATCTAATGTACTTTAAGAATATTTTGCGATGGTGATTTTATTGCCTTTAAAATAAGGAATAAACAGCTCTACTAAATTATAGTAGTTTCTTCCAAAATATTTTAGCTGTTTTGTGTATTTTCTATGTAACTGTAACATATTAAATAGTGTTACTAGCCGCCAAAGAAAGTCACCCTGTGCTAATTTACTACATCTAAGGAATGGCAGGGAAATTCTGCTTTGGGTCATAAGAAATTTGTTTTGACAAATACATATTAACATATATAAATGTGAATCAACAGAATAACCAATAAAATCCAATTTTATTTTGTAGATGACTCATTAAGTATATTGTTAATGTTTTATAAAATCTGTTCTTTGAGATCTAAGCAAAATAAGTCAGAGAAAGACAAATACTATATGATTTCACTCATGTGGAATTAAAGAAACAAAACATGAGTATGGGGGGGAGTAAAAGATAAGTCTATTCTTGAGAAAACTAGTTTTTATATCCTAAAATTTTATTTTTGATATTTATTTAGCTAAGTAAAAAGGATAATAAGGCTGTTTAATATTTTATCTCAAAAAATTACTGAAATTATATCTTTTGAGTATCAATATTACAACCTTAAATTGCAGTAATCTACAGTTTAAGATTATTGTTTCTTTAAAGTCTGAATAGACTCCTGATACTTTAACTCATTTGACAAAAATATTGAATGTGTTTGAACTAAGACATTCTGGTCAGCTGTAGGTTAATCAAATTGTTCTTCCTTAAATAGACAATGGAAATCAGCTATCTACTGTAATATGGACATGAAACCATCTTTCTCAAATGCCATTTAAATGGCATTTGTCTGTCCTAGAGTTAATTAAAATTGATACTGAATTCCTTTCTAATTGTGGAATCAAATATGTGTGTGTGTATGTGTGTGTATTCTTTTTTTTCTTTTTGGCCTAATTGTTGCCTTTAGATTCTGAGTCTAATTTTGAATGTTCAAGAACCTTGATAATGGCCAAGGAAAATAGTATGTGGATTGAGTCTAGTAATTCATTAATGAATGGTCTGTTTTTAATTTGAGATCCTCTAAAGGATAGGAATTCACTGTTTTCAGAACATACCAAAATCATGAATAATCCCAAACGCATAATGGATATCTGTATAAATATTTGCAGTCTTACCTTTTAATAAAGTATAAGCTCTAGTAAAAAAAAGACAAAAAAAATCCCAAAATACGTATTTTTTAAGTTAAAATGATTACCTAGATTACCACAGAAGCCATCTGTAAAAATTTATTTATAAAAAACTGCAGAAAAACATTTGGTTATAGAAAAAAACCTATTTAAAGCATTCTTTAAATAACCAGCTTTATTAAAAAATTTTATATATTTGTATAATGATTATTAAAATAGAAAATAATGTGTATTTTATTTAATAACCAAGCATTTTTTCCCAAGATTTTAAACTATACAGTATCAAAAATTATTTTCCAGGCATTTTATTAAGACCCAGATTTAAGAGGGAGCATATTTAATAGCAAAGGTTTTATTGCATGATTAAAAAAATGCTTTACAGAAATTGTATTTAAAAATGAAAAAATTGTGGTTGTACTAAGGATTTGAGAGAGTTGTCTTATGGGACTCTTTGTGGTGTAATATGATTTTTCTAATACAGTTTTTATGTGGGGTTTCCTCCTACCCTCAACAAGCAAATTAGGAAAGCATCTTTTAAAGGATTTATTGCCCTTTATAAACACACTTTTTTTGCATACGTTCTTTTGAAAAGGTTCTGTACTACTATAAATGTGTACCATTTATTTAGTGCTTAAAGAATGGCTTTAAGTTATATAGTAATTCCATTAATGAATACTGAAAATGAAAGAGGGGCCTATTTCACATATGCTAGGAGTATATCATACATTTTGTAATGCACTAGGATGCCAGTAGCCATTGAGAAGGATAAGGTATTTTTATTTTTGTTTTTGTTTTTTCCTCTTTACGAGACAGTAAGTCTTTGGATGCTGATGGAAATCCATTAGGAAGGCACATTGTTAGAAAACTTGAATTTCCTGTATTCTGACCTCTGATTGAATACCAGATATACACAACCAACTTGGTCAAAATTTCATCCAATTATGGTATCTATATATAATCTTTGGAATGTCACAGCATTTTACTGTAAGGTTTACAGCAGTGAAGTGGAGTTGTATTTTTATCATACCTACATGACTATGGTATACTTATACTTTTTTTCCAATAAAAAAATTAAATTCAATGTAATAGTTCAGCTGGAAACTTAATTTATTACCTTGAATATTTGTGTTGCATCCATTCTGTTTTGTTTACTTTTGAAGACTTCCATTCTTGACCAGCAGGTAGTAGATTTCTGCTTACATTTTCCTTTGAAACAGATGTTTGCCAGTTTGGGTCCCAAGAAGAATGCATTGATAGATATAATGTCATGCTTTATAATTCAGTGAATTGCTGCAGGAGCTATTTTAAATTAAGAAATCAGTATATTATTAGCATCAGAGTCAAAATTAGTATCATCTTAGGGCCTAAAAGAATCCCACAATGGAAGTTAATATACTCTGCTTGTCCTTCATTTTCTTCTATTAGATTTGGTGGAGTGTCATTTGTTAGGTAATACTGGGTATGTTTGCCATGTTCATATATTTTAATGATATGAAAAGTAAGATAGAAATCGTTACTGCCAGGAGAAGGGAAGTGAATCAGTTGCTAATAAATTTAGGTAGGGGGGAGTGAATGTGTAAAATTGTGACAGCCATAAAATATATATCCACCTTCCTTTCTCTGTGGTAGTCAGGATTATTAAGCCCAAGAAGTCTTAACTTTTATGATAAAAATTCAACTCCCAAATAAGAAATTATTTATTTTGCTTAGAATTTTAGATAAACTACAAGGTGAGGGTATATAGCTGAATATGTGCTTGAAAATGCATTGCATTTTAAATAGTAATTTAACTGTTAATATTGTCTCCAAATTTTTTGTAGCAGGGGAAACTCTAAAATATCACCATGTATACTCTCAGCAGCATAATACATTTATACATGTCTTTGTCTCTCAAGTAATAGGTTTATTGCTGTGGGTTTTATGAGGGCAAAAATCTTCTGTCACAAATCCTGCTTATTACTTTTTTGGAAATTCCACTAAAATCTAAGAAGATTTATATCATAATCCATAATTTTGAGTTTCAGTACATGATAAAATACATCTAAGTGTAGTTAGTTTTAATACTGATTTAGTAACAATTTACCTAAAAGTAGGATAGTTTTTTAAATTAAGAAATAATTGACATACAACATATTAGTTTGGGGTATGATAACATAATCATTCAATATTTGTATACAGAATGACTTTTTATTCTATCCAGACCCATGAAGTATGGCATGATAAGGCTTTCTCTGCCTTATCAACCCATTATAAACCTAGTTAGTTTACTTTAGGATCCATGAAAAATGACTACATGGATACAGATACATACATATACATGTGCACACATAGAAACACAAATTTGCACACATGGAAACACAAATTCACACACAAACACATGGAAACACATGTGCACAAAACATGCCTTCTCCCATAAGCTATGCTTCAAAGACATTTGACTAAGATAGCGGCTATTATGTTTACATTCAGTGGAGCTAGTTCGTTGCTACCTATCATCATGCATTAGTGTTTTTCTTTCTGCTCTTTACTGTGTTGTGGTAATAGTACTGTTAATGAGTGCTATATGCCTGGAAAAGTAGTTCATTTTATTCTTAATCCTCTTCTTCACCTATCTCTTACTTTTTCTTCCCTCTCATTCCATCTGTTCATCCAAGCCAAATAACTGGAATCATCTTCAAGCTTTGTTAATCCTTGTCCCATGTAGAAAATCACTTCCTGAGTCCTGTAAAAGTTTTCTTCCTTAAATGTTTCTCCAGTGTGCTCTTTGTTCCTTTTCTCCGTTGCTACTGCCTTGATTCAGTGTCTCACTTTTTCCTCATTCTATCAGTTTCTCCTGTTTTGGAAACTATCTACATAGGTCTGCCATACTCATCTATTTTACCCATTCTCTTTACTAGAGGCCTCCAAAATGAAGTGTTTGCACCCTAAGAGATAGACAAGATAACTAATAAAACCAACTTACTTCTATATAACATCCCATTTTAATTTCTATGTCTGTGTTTTATAATGTAAATAATATGTAATACTGTAGTATAAGTGTATAACTTCACACATATATATGTTAAGATTCATATTTAAAATATTTTTAGTATGGGGGTACATCAACAATAACGTTTGGGGACCATACTCCTATGCTGGTACTAGAGTAATCTTTCATAAAGTATAACTTTAATTACTTGACTAGTTTTCTTCAAGTCTTCTCCATTCTTCTCTTCACCTTTTAATTAATTAATTCTGAGGAAGGTCCTTGATACTATGCAAATACCCTATTCCTCATCAAACTTTCATTTTCTGTTTTATTCAGTAGATTATATTGGTTATTACCATTTATTTTGACGGTCAGATTGTCCCAAATTTGGCTAATGGAAGCCACTTCAGGCTGTCTTCTGACACTTCAACCTAGCATCTATGTCCTTTTGACATGATCCCAGCAGTCTTTAAATACTTCCTTACTAAAGATGTTCCAGGCTCAACTATACTTTCCCTTTCCCTATTCTTGGAACCAGCCATTTCTCCAAGGAGCTCCATTTCCTTTCAGTGGAGAATGGTATTTAGAAACCAAGATGTGGGTGCTAGATGTGCTCATTGTTACTGCACTATTCCTTCTAGGTTGTCTCAGTAGACAGAGCCAAGGGTTAGATGTATGTATACATACACATTGCATCTATATTTCTGCCTTTATAGACATTGGAAACCATTCCACTTTTCTCCCTGACAGAAAACTGGATCCCATTATTCTTAAATATTACGTATTTTTTAAGATTTTATTTATTTTTTATTTATTTATTTATTTA